TTCATTTTTATATGCGTCTTTATTCATTCTTATATGCGCATTTATTTATTTTTATATGCGCCTTTATTCATTCTTATATGCGCATTTATTCATTTTTATATGCGCCTTTATTCATTTTTATATGCGCATTTATTCATTTTTATATGCGCCTTTATTCATTCTTATATGCGCATTTATTCATTCTTATATGCGCATTTGTTCATTTTTATGTGGTTTACAAAAGCAATTGTAAAAAAGCAATTTGAACCAAAAAAAATCATTTAATAAAATCATTGATAAAACAGTTTCAAAGCAAATTTTTCTTATTTCCTGGTAAACGAGTTTAAAAATACTTATAAGACGAAGACTTTTTACTTTCGATGATGGTTTATTTAACTTAGTATTAGTTTTTAGTTTAATTTTATTATATTATATTAAATTGTATTATTGAATTAAATTTCTTGATTGATTAAGTTATTTTTTATCTAATTATTTATTTTTCTAGATTTATTATTTAATTATTTAAAATTATCAATATCAAATTTTTACCCTATCGATGAATAGAAAATAATCGTAAAACAAGGAAAAATGTTACAAAAGAGTACATTGAAATGCTTAAACATTTAGTTGAAAGAAATCAATCTACAACAAGCATTTCCACTTCTCTTAATTTATCGAAGCGCACAGTTCAAAATCTTGTCGTTAAGTTAAACAGAGGAGAATTCGACGACATGACTGCATTCAAGTCGTCTTCTGATAAAAAACGAGGTGAAAGACCTATAAACGCTCAAATAAGAAATATTTTTGAATTATGCGTACAAGAAAACAACCTTTGCACGCAAGAAACAATAAAAGAAAATCTTTCTGCAGCAGGCTTCAACATGTCTCAGCCTACTATTTCAAGAAAACTCAAACGCTCGGATTTATCAAGAAAACGTGTTGTGCATGTGCCAGAAGAACGAAATTCAACACGAATTATTAATGCACGCTATGCATTTGCAAGCGAAATTAACGGAATTTCAGATGAAAAACTTATTTATTTGGATGAAACTGGATTTAATGTGCACACTAACAGCACATATGGTTATTCGCTAAGAGGTGCGCCAGCAATTTTACAGTCGCCTGCAAATCGTGGCAAGAATGTTAGTTTAATTTGTGCTGTTTCAACAATGGGAGTGCTTGCTTATGAAACAAAAACTGGAGGCTGGAATGCAGATTCATTTTGTACTTTCATAACTACAATGATGGCACCAGCGATTAGGAATGCAAATGTGGAAGCGCCGGTGCTTGTTATGGACAATTGTAAATTCCACTGGAGTCTTTTTGTTAGGCAAACACTAGCCTCTCATGGTATAGCTATTAAGTATCTGCCAGCTTACACGCCACAGCTTAATCCAATAGAAGAATTTTTTTCTTCTTTAAAACATACTTACAAACAGGGAGAAAGGCCTCGAAATACGGATGAGGTAATCAGGAAACTTAAAAATATTATGGATACTACAGAGTTTAATATAGTTCCATTTTACAACCATATGCGTAGTTATATAAATCAAGCGCTGGCTCGGCAACCATTTATTAAATAAATAACAATGAAAACAACCTAATTTATATTTTAAATATGTCTATATAAAAATTTAAAAGCGTATTTATCGTTTATATTAAATTATATTAGAGATTTTATGGGTGGTTGACGCATATACAAACATAGGGATGCATAATTTGATATTAATAATAATTATAAATAAGTAAATTTAAATCGAGATAAATGAATAATTAGATAAATAATAACTTAATCAATCAAGAAATTTAATAATAAAATTACAAAGAACTAATACTAAATTAAATAAACCATCGTCGAATTTAAAAAGTCTTCGTTTTAAGTATTTTTAACCTCGTTTACCTGGAAATAAGAAAAGTTTGTTTTGAAAAAATAAACTATTTTTTCAAAACAAATTGCTTGAATGATTTTTTTTTGTTCAATTTTACAATTGCTTTTGTAAAACGCATATAAGAATGAATAAAGGCGCATATAAAAATGAATAAAGGCGCATATAAAAATGAATAAATGCGCATATAAGAATGAATAAAGGCGCATATAAAAATGAATAGACGCGCATATAAGAATGAATAACCCTGTAAATTAAGAATTATTGCGCATTATCTCTTACCTGCATGGATCTACGATAGACTTTGCATCAACTATTTGTCTTCTGTGGCTTTCATTGACATTGTCAATGAAAGCCACACAAGCCATTGTCATTGTCATTGCCAATGAAAGTTTCATATGCCACACCTGTAAGCCTAGATTTCTTAATCTTGTTCCTTTTATAATCATCTGGGTTTCTTATCTTTTTTTATAATTTGTATGATCAGACTCACTACCACTATCACTCATTTAAAAAAGCAGTTAATGAACTTAAATCACTATTAAAATTATCAAATGTAATAAATCAACTTTATTCACCATGCTGTTGCACAATTAAAACAACAAAGTAAGGTTACGTTTGGTCCGCTGTCTTCAGCGCAAATTTCTTGTTTTTTGTTAAAAGGGCTGAAGTCCGGACTTCAGCCCTTTTAAAGAAAAACCAAAACTTTTAGACGCTGTACAAGCTAAAGAAAATTTTTGACAAACACCTTTTTAATACAAAATGATAGAGCTATCTTTTGAATATACAAATTTGCTAAAAAGTTGATTTTGCAAAATATGTGACTTCCGCCCTCTTAACATTCACCGATTCATATGAGATATCAGAGTTTTACTCACTATTTAGAGAGGAATTGAAAACAAAGTCTACATGAATTATATGTTATCTTCCTATTTAATAGGTTTACAAAACAATTAATATAAAATACCATTAGACTAGTTTATAGTTTACTTGCCTTTTAATTATCCTTAGCAACAATAACCGCCACACATATTCTTGGCGTTCTGTTTAACAACTTATCCAATTTTCGATAATTTCGATGCATAAGATGTGGAAAAAACTAATAAATTTTTTCCACATCTTATGCATCATTACACATTTGTTTTTGACAATAATTCCTAAAAAAATCCGATAGAAGAGAGATCTTGTGATTGGGGAAGCTAAAGCATTCTATTTAATATTTTATCGTTCTCAAACTCAGTCAAATAACTTATACAATTGTTTCTGTAAAATGTGTTTTGGATTTAAGCTTTAAGTCATTTTCTTCTGAAAAATAAATGGTTTCCTATTAAACTATCTTTCCAAAGGTGTGGCATAATTTTTTAAATGTACAAGTAAACTACTTTTGTTATTAGTCCCTCTATTTTGTTATTAATCCCTGTGGCATTCCAACCAAAACAGACCAGCACCTTAAAACAACATCCTGCATATTTTACAGTCTACAACACACTATTTACACACTGTTTTAGCACACATTAAAATTTTTTTTTCTAGAACAACAGGCTTACCTTGAAACCAAAGATTTAAAGACACGTCGGACTACGTTTACAGTCATTGATGGTCCATTTATATGTAGTTTTGAGCACTTTTTCAGTTTTATTATTGTCATGATTTTTATAAAAGCATTTTTATCAGAATACTTTTAAATTATCTAATAGTGCAAAAATAAACATAAAAATTGTTAAATAAAAAATAGCAGTGAAAAAAAATTAAATATATATATATATTTTTTGGTTTTATTTTTTTAGATTATTTATTTTTTTATTATTTATAGATAAAAATATTTTTTTGGATTGATTAAATAATATTGCAATAATAAAATTAAAGAATCATTTTTATTTTGCCAACTGTTTTATAAAAACAATTTAAAATGAGTTAAAGGAAGTGAAACACAATTCCAAGTATATTTATTTTAGAGTACTATGAACTATAAACTTGCAAAAATATTGACTTAACAAAAACGTTATATATATATATATATATATATATATATATATATATATATATATATATATATATATATATATATATATATATATATATATATATATATATATATATATATATATATATATATATATATATATATATATATATATATATATATATGCATATATAAACAAGGTAATTAAAAAAATTCGATTTCTAATGATAATCTTTTTTATAATGGTCAAAATAATTACATAAAAAAAGAAAATTACTTGAGTATTGTGTAACTGATTTTCTTTTATTTAATTTTTTTCTTATTGGTTTTCTTTTTTTCTTGTTATCATTTTGACCATTTTTCATTATTTGGAATCAGTAATAGATTATTCTCAATTCACAAAATGAATTCAGAGTAATTGATTACTGGTTCAACGATTTTTCTTTAGATTAACAATCTTTTCTTGAAAACATAGATATAAAACTTTGGCACGTCGGCCCATGTTTACAGTCAGTGATGTCCCATTCTTTATGTAGTTTTTATTATTTTAATAATTTTTATCCAAACATTTTAATCAAAATACTTTTATGATTATAATTAAATATATATATATTTTTTTGGTTATATTTTTTGGGATTAATTTTTTTGGATTAACTATTTTTTTATTATTTATAAATAAAAATATTTTTTTGGATTGATTAATTAATAGTGCAATAATGAAATTAAAAAATTATTTCTATTTTACCAACTGTTTTATAAAAACAATTTAAAATGAGATAAAGGAAGTGAAACACAATTCCAAGTATATTTATTTTTGAGTACTATGAACTGTAAACTTGCAAAAATATTGACTTAACAAAAACGTTTGCGAAGGAATGACATATTAGCATAATGGACATTGCTCAAAGATTTTTCAATCTTTAAAGATAATTTTTATTAATCATATTTAACTGTTAAGCTCTATTAATTTTAATAAATATATTAATGTAATTATCTATTCGACTTTCTATATATATGGTTTACAGTTTTACATTACTTTTTACCATTTTGGCCAAAAATCCTAATAATTAACTGCTCAGCCAAAAATTATTGTGATTTTTTACTCAGCGGTTAAAGTTTATATTTTGCTCAGCGGTTAGAGTTTATAAGTGTGACTGATTTTTCTTATGATAGAAATTTGATCTTTTCACAGGAAGTCTCACTATTTATATAAAAAACGTATATCTTTATAAAAGAACGCACCTAAAATTTTCTATTAATTAGAAGTATTTTGCAGATATTAAGAAAAAAACTATGACGAAATTCGTGATACTTGCTTGTCTGTTTGCCACAGGTAAACTACTTTTGTATTTTTAATATAATAGGTTACGTTTGATTTTTTATCATAAAGTGAATAATAATATAAATTTTCATAAAAGTTTTAGATTAATATTTTTTTTTAATTTTCAGAATTTTTTTTTTTTTTTAGTCTTATGCAGACCCGCTAAAGATGAAAAAGATAACGAAAAAGAAGACGGGTTCCATGCAGTAATCAAAATAAATAATAAACGAGGTACAATTGAAAAAGAAATATTTATTAACCTCTGAAAAAACTTCTGATACGTAAAGATAGAAGGATTAAAATTTGTTATATATAAGATCGATTAACGTTATAAGAACAGTTAAATTCTACACACTTTTACCCCAAAAAACATTTAGTCTAAAAAAGACGTCTTTTAAATGTATAAAAAATATAAATAGGTCTAAAGGACATATTCAAGACGTCTTTTTTAGACTAAATGTTTGCTTGAGACTGAAATGTAAAAAAAGTTAAAACGCTGCACTATGTGTCGCTCTAATACTAAATGAGTAAATGGGATTTTTTACAAAACAACAAATTTTTTTTTTCTATTTCTATACTTAAAAGAAAAATATTTAGTTTTTATAAAAAAACAGTTTACTGTATTTTTTTCTCTTTATCGAACGAACTCTAGATTAACCCGGAATACTAAATAAGTCCTGTAATTTTGTCTTAGATAAATGTCTTTATTTTATAGAGCTTTACAAATTATATCATAAATACAATTTTATAGTAGTGAATAGTAAACAATATCATTGATCTTGTAGTCGTGTTGTTCATATCAATTAATTAATCTTGAAACAACTTAACCATTCTGATACCCAAGTTTAAAATTTGCCTTGTCACAATCAGATTATTATAAAATTAGCAAACAACATTTTTAGTATTAGCTGTACCACTTACCTTCCTGAGAAACGAAACTCTTATTTTTAGTTGTATCTTGAATAAATGCTGGAGTTTTTTTTTTTGTTTTCAATAAAACTTTTTACTTATTTGTGATGGAATATTTCTTCCTAGCTTAACTGCTGGGAGTTTACAAGCAGTATTGAAAACCACTCCATACAGCGCATCCATAAATGAAGATTTCAAATTTCAACTTTAAAAACAAACTTGTTTAAGTTTTTTTTTTTTTTTTTTTTAATAATTTTTTAAATTAAACTCCTTAGAACTTGTAAGACATACGTAAGATCAAAACAGGTAAGACATACGTAAGATCAAAACTTGTAAGACATACGTAAGATCAAAACTTGTAAGACATACGTAAGATCAAAACTTGTAAGACATACGTAAGATCAAAACTTGTAAGACATACGTAAGATCAAAACTTGTAAGACATACGTAAGATCAAAACTTGTAAGACATACGTAAGATCAAAACTTGTAAGACATACGTAAGATCAAAACTTGTAAGACATACGTAAGATCAAAACTTGTAAGACATACGTAAGATCAAAACTTGTAAGACATACGTAAGATTAAAACTTGTAAGACATACGTAAGATCAAAACTTGTAAGACATACGTAAGATCAAAACTTGTAAGACATACGTAAGATCAAAACTTGTAAGGCAGACGTAAGATCAAAACTTATTTAAGCCTATTTGATACAACTGCGTTTAGTATTTTGCTCTCATTAGCTGTAATAAAAATTGTATACAAACTTAACTTTACTACAAAAGTACTTCAACCTAGTTTAAATTGAATAATCTTTGATAAAAAATTTATTTTTTTAAATGTTTTAATTTTTCCTGAATAAAATCAGCAGTCTCTTTTGCGAAACAAAAAAGATGATGGGTTGCATTCGGACTATTTCAAATGAAATTTTTCCATATTATCTTTTCTCTACTTCAAATCTTTAATTGTACAAACGCTATACTTTATAGAGAGAAATCACCCAAACCTTTCTTCATTGTTTCTAAATTTAGATATATATGTATGTATGCATATGTACATATATATTTTATAAATATATATATATATATATATATATATATATATATATATATATATATATATATATATATATATATATATATACATATATATATATAGAAAGAGAGAGAGAAATTACAAATTTTAAATTTTTTAAATACTAGATTGTTATATATTATTAGAAAGCCCTTCAATACAGTATTTTAATGGCGAAATGTGAAATGGTGAAATGGTGAATTTACCAAATTTGAAAAATCCAAAAGTTATGTGGTTTTTGGTAGCAAAAATAGTTTTATTTCACTAAAATTGTTATAACTTTATCTATTCTTATCTAAACGCCTATAACTTAGTACCAATAAATAGATGTAACAGTGGAATACAAATATATAATAGCTTTTATCTA